ATAAAATAAAGAAAATGAATATCACAACGATAACCGTGATAGCAATGAAATTAGTGAAAATGATGATCACGATTTTCTTAGTGATCATTGGTGACATTAATTGGCGCAGTCATCTAGTGACGCAAACGGATTATCACTAACAACGTCATTAGGTTAACAGTTTATAATTGCTAAGAGGGAGTTTAAATTTATTAAACTATGAAGGAAATATGCACGAGTTAGTTAAATTGAAGGGTTGGATCGTCTTTATTTGTTAAGAAATATGGGTAAAAAAATACAAGATTTAGAGTTATTGATAATTATATTTTATTTATTAAATTAAATTTCACGATCCTGCCTTTTACTAAGGCGACGATACAAGATTTTTATATAAAAGATAATATTAATAAAAAAAATATTTAAGATAGAAAACAGTGATAGTTATGAATTTAATGATATCAATGATCACGATGATTACTCCTTTCTTGAATCATGAGTGGCACGCTAACCTTGTTGGTATAAGCGGATTCATTTCACGAGCGGATTGATTAAATTTCACCAGGTATATGTCTCCATTAATAACCACGAGTTATAGAGATTAAACGAATAACCGTTACAAGTTTTTATAAATAGCAAGAAATAAACAAATTTTAAACACATTAAAAATAAACAGGACTAAGTGGCGCAGTAGCTTAAAGGCGAAAAACAAACAAAACAAACGTTTTGCATTGCAAGAATTTTTTTTTATTTTTTTACCTATATTGCTAGGATTTCGGGCGCCAATTAAACAAACTTTGCAGAGGGAAAATATAAAAAAAAATGAATTTTACCCCGGATCTTGATGGATCATCCGAGATAAAATACAGCTTGACCTTTGAACAGGACGTCGCCTCATACGCAAGTTCTACATAATTTGCATGGCAAAGTAAAGGTCACATGATATCATGATAACAAGACAACATCCTTACACCCAAAAATATTATAATGTTTATTTGAAAAAAAGCTAGAACTTTCTCTTGGTAAAATTAACGTATGCTTACAAAGATATACCATCTACCCATTAGCTACAAATAATCAATTTGTAAATATCAAATGCGTAGTTACATTGTGTACATAGCTTGTCAATATTTATTAGAAAAGGTGGTAGTATATGATCTTTAAACATGAAAATGCTAAATGTTAAATCTTGGGTAACCACACATTAACAATTTAAAGCTATTATATAATCTGCGTATTATTTTTAGGATTAAATTACTATTTGTAATTGATAAATATTTTTATGACTCAATAAAAAAGCATTAGTTTTATTACTATTTTTTCGGATAAACATAGGTTTTTAATGTACTGTACTAGATTGGAATCGAATTAATCGAAAATCGAATTTTATTGGCGCAGTAAGTCCGGTATTAAATTGGGAGTAATTCACCACCTCTTCTGCCGAAGCATTGCTTTATCATTCCGCTCACGAATTCAGTTAGTCTTGTAAATCAATTTTGGGCAGGGGCTGTCCCGGGTATGCCCGTGACCGAAATCGGTCGGTCAAAGGCTTCAGCCGACTGACCGGTTCCGACCGACCATTTGTCTGGCTGGTTCATTTGGCTAATTTGACTTTCAAGCATTGCTCAGTAAAGGAACGATCTCCACTTATTAAATAATGTGTCACATCGCAATAACTACTAAATCATTCCGAAAAATAGCACGAATTCGATTTCTTAATAGAAACGGATTATATCTTTATTGAATTTCTTAATGCTATTATAGCAATAAATTCAAGGGAAATATTAAACTAAAATCTAAGAATAATTTATTAATTCTTTCAGGCTTAAGTCCATCAAGTACAGTCATATTAAAGTAAGTAATAATATGTTTATAGTTGAAATTTTCTATTCTTTATATGTTTTAATATAAAATTTGAAGCGAGCGTTACATATTGGTAATAGGACATATTTGCGGATAACAATAATTAAAATAATAAAAAATGTAATAAAACATCCTTATTTTCATGAATATGATTTCTTGCTTCATTGGTTTAAGCTTTCTCGAGTAATAAAGACCATTGATATTCAACAGGGACGTCGTCCTTTAAAATTTTAAAATGAATATTTTGAATAAAAGTGAAGATTATAATTATTTTTTAAAAAAATTTACCTGATTAATATGAAACTTTAATAATTATTGCATTCACGTCATATATACTGTAGCATGACAGTGCGAGCTTATTTGCTCATTTTCCTTTTTTAATAAGATAATACTTAAATTTCCTAGTGATATACATTTGGGAATTATATATCATAAAAACTGATATTACTCCGCTGAACAAATTCCGTCACTACCACATCCCAGGAGCGTTTTTATTAGATGCGAAGTTTTGCAAGCATTCAGTACAAAAAAGCAATTGAGTTGAAATCAACTTTTAGTTAATTTGTACCATATATGGAATTTGTCAAGTAGATCAAATTTGCCACTTTATAACATTAGTCAAACATAGTTAAAACAAGTTCTCGTGTGGGAAAATTTTAAACAAAATTTTGTATTTAATTTCATTAAAATAAAATTAGATATATTAGTCGAACAGGTTCTTTAAACATAAATCTACTAACTTAAAGTAATTTGAACATTAATTAAGTGATTTGTTAATTTTTCTAGTTCATGTTTGCATTAACAACATAAAATTAGTATTGATGACTTAATCAATAAACATAACTAAATACTATTTTGTCATTATATATGAATTCCTTTACTAACCAAAGACACTACTTTTTGCCGATTATTTACCAAAATAAAGCTACAGTAAATTAATTTCCTTGGCAAGTAAAGTTGTCAAAGCTTGGTTAGGCGATTAATATTATGTAAATCGGTCGGTCTTTTTCATTTCCAAACAAGAAATGATATGATTGAATTTTCATAGATAATGGCAGGAGCGACAAAGCTGATGGTCTTGCGGTCGAAAAATGAGTTATGATTTATTAATTTATTTGTAACAATAAAAATTCCATTTTATATCATTTATTAATTGAAGACTTGAAGATTCCGTTTTATCTTGCAACGCAAAGCAGAAAAAGAAAATCTACAAAAGCAACAGCATTACTAGCAAATTATATCGTGCCGAAGCGGTAAGTTATTTAAATTAATATGCTTAATTTACATTATATAATATGTAATTTATACAGGCATGGATACTTGTCTAATGTACATCATGTAGATTTAATGATTCGGGTGCGATAGGTAATAAATGCAATTATTTATGGCTTATATTTGCTTTTTATTTTCTTTATTAAGACATAAAGATACAGTAACAAGCATTTAGATTACGCGACAGTAAAGAGGTAATTATCTTTTTTTTTTTTTTTAAAAAAAAAAAAAAAAGGAAAAAGAATTTAAAATTTTAAATTAGATCGATATTTGTGCCAGTTTGTTTTACTGTCGGTAATCAAGCATCGCGTGAAGGACAAGCGAATGATGAACAAATGCCATGAATTTCTAACCGATAAAACATAAATATCGATTCTCAATTGAGCTAAACGACTCGTACGTATATAAAAGATGCTATTTTTTTTTTGATTATTTATATCTTTATTATTCACATCTGAAATAATTTTTCATTAATTAGACAATACCATAAGTAGGCGAAGTAATCCTTCGGCTAGCACCTTGCTATTCAAAAAATGTCGCACATGATGAATCCAATTTTGACATTTCTGAAAAGGCAGCAAACTTTGTTTAGTGTAGATATATGTATCTATATTATGATTTTGATCCTAAAATAATTACCTATTCTTTATTAATTAGAAAGTCTCGGTAATGCCTTCGTATGCTCTTTGAAACTTAATATCACTAAACAAAAGAATTGTAATCTTTCTTATACAACTCAATAACGGATTGTACTTAACTACTTGGTATATCAATTCATAATAGTCAAATTACTAAAGAAAATTTAAACTTAGATATCTAATTCTGTCATCTCATCTATGGACTTGTTACCATTACTTCTTTTTTAAACAGTCCACCTTCCATTTCAAAACCTATTCAGATTACTACTAGATAATGAACTTACGATTCGTTATTGAAATCAAGTTTTTAATTATCTCGCAAAACCTTAACATGAATTTTTTTTAACGAAATTTCGCATCGTTGCTCTATTTTTTTTTTAATGAAATTTTTATCGTCGCGAAAATCTATATCAACCTTTTTTTAATCTAATAATCCAAATTATTCGAATTATTCGAATATGAATTATTTTGTAATTCGAATTTAATTTGAACTTTAAATTTAATGATTCGAAGAAGAATTTGTAATACAAAGCGCAGCCCTTATTCGCAGAATCGAGCAAATTTTCATTACGTTTGATTAACTTAATTTAGAAAAATCAATGAATCCAGTTTCTATTTCTATAGTTAGCAACGATATGGTAACGTTTTGGACTATAGATCAAAAAGTCGCATGCCAATTAGTAAGAATTCTACATTTATTCTAATTATCCACAGAAAGTTCTTGAAATTAATTGTATTATAATCCTCTGGCAAAGTGTTGTGATCGGAATTATTCGATTCTTTAAATTTTTTTAAATAATGAATTTTATATACTATATAGGATCGAAACTTCGACCGCGTCAGAACATGGTAAATGATAGCGTATAAAATGGTTAGTCTCGAACCAAACAGCTGGTTGTAATCATACGATCTGCAAAGTTGAACTTTTGCAATATTGTGATTTAATAGATTTTTTTGATATATTATATTCTTATGAAAAATATTTGGAAGATCATGCACCGAAGCGATTCAAAAGACACAATGGATTTGAAGCACTGCAAAAACTTCTGGAAGAACATAATAATGATGAGAATATAGCAAATAACGATATCTCTGTATTATTCAGGTGAATTAAGATCATGTTGAATTTTTATTCTATTATTTATCTAATTTTTATAACGTTGGATTTGAATTCTCATGACTCATATTCACTATCGAAAAGTGACGCAGAAAATTTAGTATCCTTCATTAAGTATGGTAAGAATTAACTTTATAGGGATTCAAGAATATGTATATGAATTACTAATATATGATTTCTTATTTTTACACCTATTACAGTATTATGATAATTGAAATCTCGTATAAAGTATTAGCGTTATAATTAACGGGTAACTTCAATTCTTTATTATTTTCTAAATAAATACCCGAAGAAACCATGGATCACGCAAACAGAAAATATTTTTTCACAGACAATGAAAAGGCATCGTTCCATATTACCTGAAGCAATAGAAAAATTTACCTTCTCTTCAATCAAAACCTTGCGGTAAAATATAAGTTTACGACGAGAAATTGTATTTATGATTCTAATTAATAAAAATTAATGTTTATTTTATTCGTAAATATAATTAATTTGAAATTTATTTATTAAAATAAATCAACACCGAAAGAGATGTTAAAACAAGTATTCGGTAAGGTCGAGCAATTCAAAAAGAACACTAATTCATAAAAGGAACTGATGCTAGCGTTATTGTTTGAATACGAAGCAAAAGTGAAGTTGCAACTTTGGAATAAATTACAAGATGTAATCGAAGTCGGTGTTAAGCCTATTTATTCTTTTATTATGTATTATGAATAATTATATAATTGTTCATTATATATAGGCCGCTGTAGCAGACAATGTATCGTCGAAAATAAAAAGACTGCCCGCGTACAAATAAGATGCGATTTCAAATTTGGAGAATTTTTAACGAGATTTAATTTCCTTGTTGTTTTATTTTCGGCATTAACATTCAATTAATACCGTAATACCATAATTAATTATGCGCACGAGGTTCATTTAAACGCGATAATTAAAATAAACAAGTAAACGTCAAAATGTTACAAACAATCGGTCCGTCCGGCACTTTCACTGGCACAGGATATATTTATTCAAGAATATACAAAAAGTACATAATTTGTTAACAATTTATTTGAGTTCGCATTATATAATAATTTTTTTTTTTTAAATTGTTTAAGAACAATATCCAATAAGGAGGGATTATTATTCGTAAGAAAATATCAGACTTTTATTTTTTTTTTTAAAAAAATATAAAATAATAATGTTCATCTGTCAATATATTGAAAATGGAGTATAGAGGTAATAAAAATTTTTCTATCATATCATTTCATTGAACATTTGCTTTAAAAAGAAACAAACAGTTATTTTTGAAACGTTTTCTCGCAAATTAGAATAATTTTAAATTATTATTTTTGTTTAATTTTGTTTCAGAAATAACTAAATTCAATTTTAATTGTTAATATTATACGTCTTTACCAGTTTCACAATAATAAATTTTAATTCGTCATTATTATTCGTCTTTGTTTTTTGGCACAAAAAAAAAAAATATTTATTACTATTATGCAAAAATTAATTTGTAACTGCTTTTCCTTTTATCTTTGACAGTTTGCCTTTTGTTATTGCATTACTTTTTTCGTTTTCTATTAAAAAGATCAAAAAAAGTAAATCCGAAACCAATAATTTTAAATCCTCATTGATTGCTATGCAAAAATAAATATTAGTGTGACAAATAACATTCAACAACAATCAATTAGAATGAAGGCTTCGCTTCGGAGAAATTGCTATTCATTTTTATTTGAAGTAGCAAAAATGGAGAAAAATATCTTTTACTTTCAAGCGGTCCGGTATTGTCATCATTTATCAAATCTATCAACCCCCTTTCAAACTTTTCAAATTTGGGTGAAAATTTGGGAGTTCGATTCCCAAATTTAAAATTGCTTTTTTTATTGATTTAATACTTGCCGTAATTGGGGCGTTTTGAATGGGTTTTAACTAGTCTAATTATGGTAGTGAGACAAAGGGAGAATTGGATGATCATGTTCAAGCATTCAAACTATTTCTAATTTTGTACAATAAGTACAACAACAAATTTATACATACTATAACATAAATAATTATATATAAATGAAAAAATTTTTTATAAAAAAAAAAAAAAAAAAAAACTTTTGATTTTTTATTATTATGTATCATAATTTTTCAGGACCAAGACTTCAATTTATCGAAGATGAGATTAAAATCAATATATTTAAACACGTAGATCACCCTTTTAATCTGGCTCGTACTTGTAAGAACTGGAACGCTATTGCCAAGGATCCATATGCCAAAACAGAATGGCTTTTATCCCGTACAGGAAGGACCCATGCTCTATTTTATGCCGTAAGATTGGGACCTAGCTTTCTAGATACCGCAGTATGTCAAAATTTACTTACAAGGAAGGTTATCATTTCAAGATATTTCGTACAAAGGCTTTTAATGCATTATGGAAAGTATGATAGACAATTGATAGATCTCAAAATCGAACATAACGTCAATCAACTTGATGCTGATAGAGTATTCGCATTTCAACAAAAAATTAAATCCCCATGGGCCAGCAATTTATCTTTACCCGTATTCCTTTATTTATTAAATGAGGGATCTAATCAATTAGGAGATTCTGTTCCTTTGAAAGGAAATGACATGGAACTATTTCATTTTTTATCTGCTGGACCTCGCGTCATTGCTCAAGCTCCTGGTGTGTTGCTTAAGAATTTAAAAGCCATCGAAGATTTGATTTTGAATCAAAAGTTCATCCCATTTCCACCCCGACCAAAATCGCTTCAGCTAGATTCGAATAATGATCCTCACGATCATCAACAACCACCCCCGGAAGAGTACCCTCCCAAGGATGGTTATGAAAATAGTAGACAATTAAACGTAATCGCGAGGGCAATACTTATTCACCCCGATTTGGTGATTTTATGGAAACAAATTGGTTATTATGAAATATGTGATGATGTCAATGACTTGGTTTTACAGGGAGCATTACTTATCCTCTTTCCACCTACTCCTCCTCCTGATTGGACTTGCCCAAGTGATTCTGATGTAGTTAAACGTATTAGAGATCTTATTGGTTTGGGATTCAAGTTAAAGTATAGTGTTATCGTTGACGCACTTCATATGTTTGAAGATCGATTGAACGAAATTGGGGATTTACTTTGGGATGTTTTTCGCACCATTCGATCCGATGAATCAATCGATATTCTCGGGTATGAATTTTTCCGGGAAGCATTAAAACCAGAAAGGAATTTAAAGAAAGATCACTTATTGAACTTTCTTAAATCAAAATTTGATTATCATGAAGAAGTTGTTACATCAGTTGTGAAGAAATACTTTGAAGAAGAAAAGATGAACGATATGGAATCAAGAAGAAAGTCTTTGATCTTTTCTCCAAAAGTTTATAAATACATACTTGATACTTACGGGATAGAATCTGAATTGACCTTGGAGTGTTTTAAAGATATTTCAGCCTTGAGAACTTACATTGATACTCCACGTAATTCAGAAGATGACAAGATGTCAACTTTCACACAAAATTCGATCATAACAACTTTTAATTTATACGTTAAAGAGATAGAAAATCCGAACCAGAACATACGAATTCATAACGAAACGACAAATTTTGATGTGCTATCAACTTTTAAAATGGATTCTATAAATGATTTAAGAATTGACAGCTGAGAAGGATGGAAATGCAGTCTTTGCGAAAGTTTTCAGATTTAAATGTTGTAAAAGTTGAGAGTGTGATAAATTTCGAATAATTTGAAAATTTGTAAAAGGTTGATAAAAATCAAATGTTGTAAAAGGTTGGGAGGGTGAAAACTTGATATCCAATTGAGCAAGGTTGCTTATACTTTGGTATTAATAAATCATATATTTGAGTAAATGTACTTTATTTCCGTGCAACGCTGGAGACGAAATTCCGTGATGAAAATCCTATTTGATGATGCTCTAATGCCGGCAAAAAATCACGTGAGGTGATAATGATGATTTCATTTTGCCCGATCAAAAAAACGGTTTGTCGATCTTGTAGATCAGTACAGAACGAAATTCGTAACTGCATCATCGCCAGAACTCTAATTGTGATAAAAGATTAAAATTTCTAATAGATCTAACGAACATATTGAGTAATTTGTTGATTCAGCGGGATGTTTGTCAAATTAAATTTAATTAAAATAAAAAAAAAAAAAAGAAATTAATGTAAATATAAAAACAATAATTTATTTTAATCTAATGTATTTGTCCTTCAATAAAAATGATCTTTTTTTTTTTGAAATAAAAAAAGATTGTATATAATTGATTGATTTCATCAATAATCAATTTTTTAAATTTAAATTTAATAATTCACTTTGCGGTCAAGTCACGTGAATAGTACGAAAGAAGATTTTCCGTTCTATCATGTCGATCATTTTTCTAATAATAATCTAAAAATTAATTTTTCAATTTCAATTATTAAAATTTGTTTATTGATGAAAGAACACAAATAATTATTTTCAACATTTAGTTATTTATGATTTATTTTTATTAAATTTTAATTTGACAAACATACGTTGAACAAAAAAATTATTATGTTATGGTAAAAAAGAAAGTTTTTACCAAACCAAAAAAATATACACCAGCTTTACAAAAGTTTGATGTTTTAATCATACCAAGTACGAATCAGCAAATCAGTACGAATCTTCTAAATTCGTACCATACCGTACTGAATCTCTTTTATTATAAGTTTAGTACGGTTACGATTTCGTATTTTGAGAAACGTACTGATCAGTAAATTCGCGCCGTAATATCCGAGACGTTCTATTTTTTAGCCTATCATGAAGTATAATTAGTTTACATTATTGCCGTTTTCAGGAATTGTACAATTTCAAATGTCTGACATTTTGCAAATCAAACAATTTAAAAAGCTAAGCTAAGGAAAATCCAGACGATTACTTCATATAAAGTTAATTTCATAAGCCACGGGACGGACGATCAATTTGCAGATCGATAACAAAAAGGTAAACTCGGTATAGAATTTTTGAAGAAAAAACATTATCGCTACGTTCAGATCTGTTCCGAATATAGCGACAATTTTTTACCTATATATTTTCAAATCCTTATAAATGTTCTCGGAAAAGTCTCGGTTATTATCGGCTGTCCCGTGACTTATGAAATTGGCTGTAAAGTTGTTCGATCGGCAATTTGATCGTCAAATCCAATAGTAACCAATCAAAATTTACGATCAAAATTCATACAATTGACGAATAAAAAAAAAAAATCTCTTTTTTTTTTAATGTCAGAACATAAAAAAAAAAATTAGAAATTTATTTTTTCTTTTAATGCTTGTCAAGATATGAAAAATAAAGATTTATGAAGATACCATCAAAAACGATATTATACGTTTTGATTGATCGCAAAACGAATTTTTGATCACTTACATCTGAACGATCAACCTTGAAATGGACTACTACTATTAGGAGGTAATGAATTAACAAATGCGAATTAATTAGTACAATACTCAAACTATCAAATATTTCCTAAACCCAACTAATGAAAAGTAAATAAAGAAATAGAGTAATCATCACCTAAGGTCAAGACACTTTGAATATCTCTTCACCAAATCATTAAGGATAATCCTAAATTTTAATAGGTAAACATATTGAAAAGTTCATATGAATAAAAAAAAATAATACATCGCGTAATGCTGTGGGCGAAACCCTATTTTCAAATCCTAAATGTTTCGGATTTTGAGAGCTGATCCGAAAATTTTGTTCCGTAATTTGGGCGAAAATCCGATATTTTTCCGAAATATTTTAGTCTTCGTATGGGCTGATCCTGATCATCTCATAAATAAATTATAATAAGGTTGTGATAAGCATAATAAAATCTAATTGGTTAAGTGATATAAATGATTTTTATTGGTTAAGTGATAAGATTAATATTGATTAAACAATAAAAAACCAATTAAACGACTTTGAAAAGAACAAAACTTGAGACGTGAATTCATGGTAAATTCATTAATGTTAACGAATGGTAATAAACAAAAATTCGTAAAATAATTATAGTTCTATTTTATTATATTTTTTTGTGAAATATAAAATGTAGAAATATTATTATTTTATCAAAAAATGGCCGAAAACTCCTCCACTTCATTTGAACATAACTTTCCAACTAGTTCTCTTATTCGAGCATCACGGCAAATAGGTGGAAAAGTTCATCGCAAATCATAATTTCTTTGGGATATTATCCACGGAATACATGTTTTACAAAAAAAAACAAAAAAGGAATTAAATATAAAATTCCAAATAAATACAAAGTAAAAACAAATCAATCGGGTTATGATATCATTTGCGAAACGAACTATCAAAAAAATTCTCAAATATTATTTCAAATTACTTGGACTAATAAAGATGGTGTTGAACGAATAGTTAAAAGTATTAAATCAGCAAGACATGTTGCAAAATTATTAGTGGAGGTAAGGTTATTTATTTATTATAATCTATTATATGATATATAATATATATTAATTATATTTTATTATACAATAGGATATAAAATGCAATAATACTCAAGTACTTCAAGTACTTACTAGTACTTCAATATCTGGTGTTCATCTTTTTGGATTTGACTTTGATTTTTAGAAAATCAACGCGCAATTAATATTTCTAATGATCGTAAACGCCCATTTACTGACATTGGGATTGCTTAACAAAATAAACGACTTATTATTTTTGGAACCAATCTTCAACAAAATATTGAACCACTTATTATTAAACACAAATTAATTTCATCAACAACACATCAATCAATAGCAATTTTATGAATTGTTGAACTGGAAATTAATAGGAAAATTGTTATATTTGATTTCCAACAAGCTTTAGAGTTAGATAATAAAATTAAATTGGATGCAATTGTTCATACTTGTGATGAAGCGTTAATTTCTCGAGATGATTATCGTAGACTTGCAAAAGTAAATTCACAAATGGAGCGTGAATATGTAATTTCAGAAAGAAAAACCATAATCAATAATGAAATGAAATAACAAATACCAATTTCAACTTTTAAAATTGATGAATTTATAGAAAGTCAACCTTTAATTTGTGATTCTATAGAAGAAATAGTTATTAATGCAAAGGATATTAATAATGGCGCATATAGATCAATTACTAATATATTTAAAATATTAGTTTCTATTTGGATAAAATTAACTCCATCAGTTATAACATCTGGTGATACTCTTTTTCTTAAATTAGGTGGTGATGGAAATAATGTAGGAAGAAATCAAAATCATATTATATCAACTATTTGTCTTTTAAATGAAAAAAATGAAATATTAAAACCCGATCATCAATATAGGTTAATTTTATAAATTTTAATTATGTATTAATTGAATTATAATGATAATATTTAGTATTTGTTTATATATCAGAAAAGAAAACTATAAATCAATAGAAATAGCAATGAATTTTTTTACACATAAATTAATTGATTTACAAACAAATGGGTTTACATATAATCATATTACATGGAATGTTAAATTTTTTTTTTCAGGATATTGGAAATATATTATTTTGTGAATGTGACAAAGAATACAGATATGATATGAATATAACATGACTTAATGGTAAAAATAAAAAAGGTAAAAATTTATATAATTTTATTTAATATAATATAATTTTATTAATTTAATTTTATTATATAGGTCAAAAAAATCCATCATTATCAATGATTAAAATATAAAATTGGATTTCTGATGAATTACATACTTTATTATAAATTGCAGATATTCTTTTAACATTTTTTTAATGAAATTACTGTAAAGAGAAATTTTCAAAATGAAATTTTAAATATAATTGAATAGACTATGAAGAATATTAAAGTACACTTTGAATTTTTTGCATCAAAAACTTCAAATAGAAAGTGGATTTGGAAATCATTAATGGGTCCAGTAAAAAAAATAATTCTAGAAAAATTTCCAGTTAGTGCATTTATTTCAGAAAAGCAAGGACAAAGAATTGAAGAATTATAACGTAAATTTTATAGATTATATTGTATAATAAGAAAAGAACATTATACATTTGATGAAATTGATAAATTTGAAAGAGATACTAAAAATTAGATTAGACTTTTTTGTTGTTTAACAATCTTTCAGTAAAAACAATAATTCAAAAAGTATTTATCATACTACAGATATTATACTATATATGCATATTTTTGCATAGCATATACCTCAATTTATGCGTGATTTAAAATAATGTAATCATTAAGACATTTTACAACTTCTAATCTTGAAAAAAAATCATAAACAAATAATATATATTAAATGATTTTTTTTAAAATAAATCAATTTATTAAATATTTTTTATATTTATAAATAAAATTATTTTTTGATGATACTGTAATAGTGAAGGTAATCTTAACTAACCAGTAGTTTATGATATTATAATTTATAAAATATGACAATTGTATTATCTAATTCATAATACATTTATTGCTTTTCAATGAAAAATTTATATTATTAATAATGAAAATGAAAATACATAATAAAAGATAAATTAAATATAATTTATTAATTCATTATTTAATTTATTTATTTTGTTTAAATGTTATATATATTACATTTTAAAAAAGTTCATAAAGAAAGTTTAAGTAAAATAATACAAAAATTGTATATTATAAAGTAGGAATAGTAAAAATAATAGGGAGAGTAAGAGTAGAAATAGGAGTAGAAGTAAAATACATAGAATAATTAAATTCTAATAGTAAACTAAATGTATTATTAGTTTTGAATTGTAAAATTGAATCAGAATGTTTATCTATTAAGCTAATATATAAATAAAATATAAATATAAGTAATATATTAAAAAAAATTAAATATTTATTTATTTTACTCTTATCATTCAATAAAATTGCCTGAAGTAACATAAAATTCTCCCACAAGAGTTTCACATAGAAATTTATGAGAGTTTTATTGCAATTTATTTTCACACTATAAAAATTTAATTTTATGTTATCTATCTATATTATTCATATTTTTATATATTTGTTTAAAAATAAAATAAATATTTAATTATAATTCTTTGTAATGGAAAGATCAATGCTATTTTGAAGGAGTAGAAGGTGGGCAAAAACTGGATATACTTTTAAATTATTCTAATTAGAATAATAAAAATTATAATAATAGATGAACAAGAGGTTATATTTACTTGAGTAGGGAATAAATCTATATGAATATGATGATAACCTAAACTTATTTAGTTAAATCCTAGTTATTTATTAATAAGAAAAATAATTTCATCTTAGTATTTGTTAAGTTCTATGTTAGATTTAGTTGGAAATATATTATAGTGTGATATTATTTTATTATTATAATGAGAAGTACGTATATGTGCTTAAATGGCTTTTTTAGATATACAAGTAGTTAAACAAAGTGAACATAAAAATAGTTTAATTCTTAGCATTTAGATTAAAAGATAAAGTCACATGTTATCAATTATTTAATTATTAATTATTAAATAGTATATATAAATTAGGCACAGATCATCAGATTATAACAACTCAAATATCATATGTGATATAAATGAAGTAAGTAATATTCGCCCATATGTCTGATACTATCTGATATCTGAAATTATAATTAATGTGACTTACTAAGAATATTTCTAACTAAAATAAGTTAATTCAATAAATTAAAATGTAATACTATTTGTCTAAAATTGTTTAATTATAATTTATTTATTTATTTATTTTTTTTTTGAACTTTAATTTTTCAATTTTTTTATATTCAGATAATTTAAATAATTTATTTTTTAAAGGAAATTTACAATATAATAATATAATATATTAAAAAAGAGGTTTTTGTAAAATTAGATTAACAATCCAACATGTTTTTATCTGAACAAGAATATTCTTTTCAATTTAATATAAAAAAAAGTAAAGTGGAAAACCAAAATCTATAATACAGTAGCGGTCATAAGTATCTGACCGCTTGAGATCATCCAAAATTATTATATAACTACCCCTTAAATTTTTCAGAAATATAATGTAACACAATACATGATCACCTGT